CAGACTCTGTTTAGAAATTGTACCTTGCAACAAGGTAAGTCCAAAGTCATGATTTTAGTTGCCACAGGGGCCATGTCTGATCTCCATTACAAAAGGAAAATACCCTGTGGTCTAAGATAGAGACATAATTGATTCACAATAAAATATTTTTATCGCCCGGCACATGCCTTTAATCCCAGCACTTGGGAGGCAGAGGCAGGTGAATCTCTGTGAGTTCAAGGCCAGCCTGGTCTACATAGTGAGTTCCAGGACAGCTGGGGCTACAGGGAGACCCTGTCTCAAAAAAAAAAAAGACCAAAATATATATATATATATATATATATTATCAATACACTTAACCAACCATTCCTATAAATGTGAACCTATGCCACAAATAAGAAGAAACAAAGACAGCTCTCCAAATGACAAGTGTGTGCCCTACTCCTGAGTTGACATATTTTGTCCATTAAGGACACTATATGTTTAGTACAGCAGCTCATGTCTTTAATTCAAGCATTTGGGAGACTATTGCAAGAGGATTTCCAGGAGTTTGTGGCCAGTCTGGGATACACAGTGTCAGGGTTACAGCATGACACTGTCTCCAAAAAGTGAAAAAGAGCTGAGGACGTAACTCAGTCAGGAGAGTGCCTGTCTAGCATGCATGAGACCCTGGGTTCCATCCCCAGCACCACATAAACCATGTGTAGTGGCACATGGGTGTCATCCCAGGAGTTGAGAAGGGGAGGCAAGAGGATCAGGAAATTCAAGGTCCTCCTCTGCTGCTACACAGCTGAGATAACTCATTCAAGGTCAGCCTGGGCTACCAGAGACCCTGTACCAAAAAAAAAAAAATTTTTTTAGCTGGTTGTGTGGGGCACACTGGTGCAACGCACTGTAGAAACAGAAGCAGGAGAATCACAAGAGGCCAGCCTAGGATACACCTTAGAAGTTATTTTTTTTGATCAAAAAAGAAAACAAAAGAACACTATATTTTACTTATGAAGAGACAGTACCTGCTTAAGATGTTATTAGCAAGACCACAGCATGCTGTGAAGTCAGGCAGGAAGCTTTCCCAAGACCCCTCCAGCACTCAGGCTCCACAGCCCATCAATGTTTAGAGCATCCCAGAAGGACATCAACAAATGACTGTCTCTGAGCAGTCTCATCTCTCTATGAGCTGGTGGAAATTTCTGGTTTACCAGAAAACCAAACTCTGCCTTTCTTTCTCTAGATCTTTCATTTTCCATCTGAAACCATACTGCTCCAAAGCTCACATCAAAGATGTATAACTGAACGTGAAGTTGTAGGCAGCAACAGAACGTTGTCTTGAATCTTAAACGAATAAATAAAAAGAAAATAGAAATTTAGGACCAGCAAGATGACTCAATGGGTATAGGTGCTTGCCTGCGTTCAATCTCCAGAACTCAAGTGGTGGAAGGAGAGAACTACCTCCTTCAACTTGTCCTCTGACTTCTACAAGTGCACCATGGTATGTGCACACACACACACACACACACACACACACACACACAAATTTTTTAAAAGAAAATATAAATTCATCTAAAACAAAAGATTAAGATAGATTTCAGAGCTGGGTTGAAGCGACTTCTTTATAACCCTCTCCTCTGCCTTCATTCCTCTTACCTCCAATACCACCATCTCCACAGTGAACTGGCCACCTCATGTTCTACGTACATTACTGAGGAAATCAAAGCTATAGACAAAGGCTGCCCCAAGTCCTGCCAATGACCTTGAAAACTCACCAACATCTGCATTCTCCTTTCCTCTTCCCACTTTACAATTTCAAGGTCCTATTGATGCACCGTTCCCCTCCCCTGTGCCTTCAGGGACTCGTCCTACTTCCTAGGTTCTTAGATCCATCAACTGACCCATGTGCCCCTTCACCATTCACTGCACTGGCTCCTTCCCAGCAACATTTCAATACACTTCTCTATCTCTGGAGTTAACACCCCAGACAACACCCCAGACAGCACCCTCACCCTCTGCTTCCTTCAAGGTCAGGCTGATGATGCTGAACCCCCACTTGTAAATTTCTGCTCCTCACTTCCCATTTCCTCTAAACAGAGAGAGCCCAGCCAGACTGCCAGCAATTTCTTGTTGCTAGATACAATAAATGGCTCTGGTTTCTCCAAAATATCCATATTTTTTAAGTATCAGAAAAAACAAACAAACAAGTAAAAGGGGCTGGAGAGACGGCTCCGTGGTAAGAGCACTTACTGCAGAGGACATGAGTTCAGTTCCCAACACCCATGTTGGGCAGATCACAACCATCTGTAACTCCAGCTCCAGGAAATCTAACACACTCTCCACAGGTACCCACATGCACATATACATACATATACACACACATAAATAAAAAGTCAATAAATCTTTTTTAAAAAATAAGTAAATATCAATTCGGTCACCAAGTATTTATTGCATTATTACTGCCAGAAACTAATGGCATTTACCCTAGGAGAGAAGAGGGAGCAAGAATTAAGTAAGTAAATAAATGAACAGGCTAAGTCCAGATGGTGGTAAGTCTTACAAATAAGCAACAAACAAAGCTCAGGATGATGGACGACAGTGACCATGGACATGGCACTGAGCTTTGAAGGGAAGACTCTCTGAAGTGATATTTGAGCCAAAGCCACCTGTAAAAGGACGATGGGCCAGAGTGTTGTAGGCAGAATGAGCAGCAAGCAGCAAGCTTCATGATGGGCCAAGCACCACGTATGTATGAGCACATAGTGTTCACATGCACACAAGAACAGGAAGAGGATGAGATGGGATGACCTAGCTGGGTAGGGAGAGGACTTCTGGATCATGGGCAGTTTGGGCTAATCCTTGAACAACGAGCCTAGGACTCCTTTATTTTATTTATTTCTCTTCCCATTTGTGGGGGGGGGCGCACATTTGTATGGATGCACATGCGTGTGTGTGTGTGTGTGTGTGTGTGTGTGTGTGATCCTCCATCTCTTTTCCATCTTACTCATGGAGAGTGAGCTGATATGGCTAATCTCACTTGCCAGCTTGCTCTGAAGATCCTGTTTCTAACTTTTAAGGCTGGAATTACAGGTGAGCTGCCATGGCCACCCAGAATTTACATGGGTTCTGGGAATATGAACTCCAGTCCTTGTGTGGCAAGTGCGTTAATTGCTGAGTCTTCTCTAAAGCCCCAAGCCTGATACTCTTATGTGTAATGACATGGCCTCCTTTCCCCTCCAAGTTAGAAGTGTTAGAAAGTTAGAAAAGGTGTTGGACAGGATGAGGAGGAGTGATCTACTGCCTATATCTTTTACACTTTGGTTCCAGCTTTTGGAGTCAACATGCTATTCTAAGTTTGTTCTTAAAAGAAGTTGAAATCATTTCTGGAGTTGACCCAGATGGGGCCTAAATAGAGATGGATCAATTCCAACTCTTCTCTTTCTACGCTCTACTTCCACCAATCTGGGCTAAAAAGGAAAGTGGCCCAGGGGGAGCATCCACAAGGCCACTGCTGAGTATGCAACAGAACCATGAGGCAAGGTCAGGCCTCCAAAGGAATACACATATTCACGTAGTCTTTTCATGCTGAGTTTTTGTGGCCAAGGTCTTCATGAGGCAGGAATTAACTTGGAACTTGAAGGGGCTCCCCAGTATTGCGTCTGGGAAAGAAAGTGAGAGGCTAAAGATATTCTCCCCAAGCTAAGCAGTGCCTCCCCCACCAGTCCATGAGATTACAGTGTGACCTGGGGAGCTTCCATCTGATCCAATCTCTGTTCACACAGCTAGTCAGGGGATGTGCATAAGCAAGTGGGATAGGGGTGAGGGTTAGTTCCTGTGATTGAACAAGAGCTCACACTCAAGACCAGTCTTTCCCAAGGGTTTGAGCCTACAGATAATGGGAAGAAAAGAGAGCAAAGAAATGGAAATCAACTCCTACCCTAACCCACTACACAGTTAAACCCAGACCCCCTCACACTGTGGAATAGCCTACACAGGGAAAGTCTTGAACTGCTAGTCTAATTCCCACTTCCCCTACCACATACACTTTGTTCTCCTCTCCCTACGACCAAACTCCTTTCTTATTTTTCTTGATCTGACCTCACCACCAGACACAAATGTGGAAAGCCATCTAGAAATAGCAGGGGAACACCAGGCCTCAGCTATACCCAGAGATTTGAGGGATTCTATTCTAGAAATTAAAACTCTGAGTTCTGTTTCTAGACCTAAGCAAGTGCCTGAGGACATCTACCTGTGTCTCAGATCCCTTGGAGAAGACGGGGATAGGACAATGGGGTTGAAGCCAGATAATTTTCCCAAATTATGCAATTTGAAAGCAGTTGGGACTATGCAGGGTGCAGGTGAGTCAGAGCTGTGCAGGTGAGGGATAACTGTGCAAGTGAGTGGGAACCGGCCAAGAAGGTAGGCTAGAGAACAGTCAAAGGCAATGCCTTAAAGTGGCTGCTCTCACGCAGACTGGAATTAGAGGAGATGCTCACAAAGACCTGTGTGAGACTGGAACAGAGCCCTGCAGAAGAGTCAGGAGCTGCTTCTTTCTGCTTCTGACACAACATGCTAGCTACATCTGACATGTGAATTCAGATGGCTCCTTCCATCTCAGCATTTGTGTTTAAGGATTATCTGACAACTTAATATCTTACTTGGAAAATAACTTGGGCCTTCAGCAGTGTCAGCTGTGGCTCTGTGCGCTGGTACAAGGAACTGATGGGGAGGCAAAATAAACAAACAGTATAGGGAAGAGAGGGGTTCAGATAGAGAATTACAATGAATTGGGTCAAAAATCAAAAGTCAGGCCCAGCAACAGGATGCAGGAGAAAGAGGGCCTAGAAGGGAGAGGAAAACATGTGAATTAGCCCTGGAGTCATGTTTGCCAAAGATCCCTGAAGGCCTATGCACCTGCCAGAGAGGAAAGGGCTGCAGAGGCAACCAAAAGACCCATACCCTGAGCTCTGAAGTCTGAGAGGTCCTTCCAGGGCCTGGGTGGATCATAACTCTCAGAGAGCCCCCTTCCTCACCTCCAGGCAGGCTGCCCTGAGGCTCCCACGCTGTGGAGACTGTGGGCATCAGTAGTTGCCACATCAGCAGGTATCTGCCCCTGCATCATACTCAAAGCTAGATAACTCGCTCAAGGGCAGGAGAGTCGCAGAGCAGTAAGTCCAGAGGCAGAGACCATCCACTCACTGGAACTCCTTCTTGATCACTTTTTTCTTGGGGTTGACTTGTTCCTCCTTTTCAATCTGATTTGCAAAGAGAAAAAAAAATCACAAATTGGTTAAGTGGTGTACTGTACTTTCTGTACCGTCATTTAATACAGCTGTGACTTCATGAACAGCTTTTATTTTTTGGAAGATTTAGTATGTGTGCATGTGCACACACACACGCCTGTCTGCATGTGTACCATTGGAGTGCAGGTGCCCACAGAGACCAGAAGAGGGCCCCAGATCCCCTGGAACTGGAGTTATAGGTGGTTGTTAGCTACCTGATGTGGGTGCTGGAAACCAAATCTGGGTCCTCTTTGAAAGCAGCAATCTCTCTTAACCACTGAGCTGTCTCACTAACCCTGAGTGAACTACTTTTGTTCTTTACTCCTGGGAAATCCAGCTTGAGAATCCCTCTGTTTATTTTTTCAACTCTGGTAATCTTTGGCCAAAATTGGTATGAAAATATTTTTTTTTCCTAGATGGAGCCTAGAAAAGAATTTTTAAGTTCTCCTGATTCTATGTATAAAAATTTTTGTTTTTCTGGTTACTCATGGTGATTTTACAATATAGAAAAAGTCAAAGTTAATGAAAGTACATCACACTCCTATAAAAAATGCTTTACCACTTGTGATGGTTCGTCTTCATTGTTAACTTGATTGGATTTAAAATCACCATGGAAACACACCTCTGTTTATGAAGATGTTTCCAGAAAGGTTTAACAAGGAAGGGAAGATCCACGCTGAATGTGGGGAGCACCCTCCCAGGGGCTAGGATCCTGAGACTGAATAAAAAGGAGACTCTCTCTCCCTCCCTCCCTCTCTCTCCCTCCCTCCCTCTCTCTCCCTCCTTCCTTCTCCTTCCCTTCTTCCCTCCCTTTCTCTCCCTCCCTCTCCCTCTCCTTCTTGACTGTGGATGCAATGTGACCAGCTGCCTCCTGCTCCTGCCACCATGCTTTTAGATGGACTGGACTTTCAAACCGTGAGCCAAAATAAATCCTTCCTTCAGTTGCTTTCCCAGATATTTCATCACAGCAATGAGAAACATAAATGTGCACACACATACATGTAGAAAATATGGATGTTTTTTAAATTGTGACCAGGTTGGCATGCTCCTAATTGGATGGGGAATAGACTACATTCAAGAAGTTAAGCAACATTCGGGAAATTCATTATAAATATGTGGGCCCAAATGAACATTCATTACAAGCTTATCTAACTCTTGTTTCATATCACCTTCAGCAGGTGGGTCTCTGTGAGTTCAAGGCCAGCCTGGTCTACATAGTGAGTTTCAGACCAGCTGGGACTACAGGGAGACCCTGTCTCAACAAACAAAAAACAAAAAATAAAATAAAGCCATGTTGAATGGTTTCAGAGCATCACTGAAGTTCTTATTATTTTTTTAAAAAGAAAGAAAAACAGGAACCATGCATTAGTAATGAAGCATACTTTTATTCTAGAACCAAATTTATGGGACCACAGTTTTTCTTGTAATTTAGGTTTTAAAAATTATAAATAACTGAGTTAGGTATAGTGACACATACACTTGGGTGGTTGAATCAAGAGGATCACACATTTGAGATCAGCATGGGTCACATAGTAAGTTCCAAGTCAGCCTAAGCTACCTATCAAGACCTTGTCTCAACAATATTAATAAAAACTGTAAGTAAAACTTATATTCAAGTATTAACAATAATGTTTTCTGGATTGCCTCTATGACCTCCAAACATAGGGGAGTACTCACATACTAGAACTTTCCACGAATCCTACTGAACGTAAAACCCAGATGCTGAGGTCAGCATAAGAGTTCACAGACCCCAGGTATCACACAGAGCAGGTATCACTGTCATCAGCCATTTGGCATCTTAGGTAACATGAGCATCTCATTGTTTATTTGGCCCTTCACAGGCCTTGGAAACCCCAGTGATGCAACAGGGTTGACCAGATTGTGCAGCAACAATGGCTGGCCTCCTAAAAGACCAGGGGAGGGAACTGAGTTGGAAAGGATCCACTAGTAATTAGAATTAAATAGCACCCAGTTTTCATTAGCAAGCAGATCAAATAGAATCCACTTCCCTAACACTGTACTGTGGTGGGATAAGCACTTAACAATGCCAGGTAGTGAGAGAGATAATATCCTTAGTCTACAAATGGGAAAGATGGATAATGGAAAGAATATGTAGCCTGAGTAAAGGGAGTTCCCGGGCAGCAAAGCCTGGACTCAAACCTGATGCTGGAATCCTTGCCTTTTACTGTATCAGACTCACTACAAGGTGTATTTTTTTTACCTTAGGAATGAGGCAAAAACATGAATGAGTCAATAACATCAGTCAAACCCTGAGTCAGGCTCTGGAGTGATGAGTGTAAGACTGCCTGATCCTCATAGTCCTGCAATGGAGATATAGAGATAAAGGAATCAATGAGCAAGGATAGAAACACCAAGAGAGGCCAGGCAGAGGGAAGCCATGTGATCAGCAAGAAGAGTGAGGGGTCATAAGTCAAAGGGCTCCTTACCACTGGCAATAATGGTGGCAGGAGATGAGTGTTCCACCTCCAGGAAATACCCAACACATCATGCCCACTGACTACACAAAATAAGATTACAAGTTGGTAATACACAAAAGTCAACCTGTATATGAAATGTCCTCATATTATTCTAGCACAGCTTTGAACGTTTAAAGTTATAAAGGCCTCCCATGTAGTAGAACAGAAAAAACAAACAGATGAGGACCATGGAGGGTTGGGAAAGCAAGTTTCCGAAGTGCATACATGGATGATTACCATAGTGGTATCTCTTTAAGGTAGTAGCACTCTCCAAGAACAGACTGGCTCTGAATGTATATTGGAATTGTTATATACATCTAATCTTGACAGCTCTGGTACCCATCTCTCATTAAATATCAGGGTGGTGTTTGTACTTAATGATTGTGGGAATTGCTGCTATAGCAGTGATTCTAGCAGTAATTTTAACCTCTGTGGGTCCTCCAAGGCATGTTTGGGTCCATTCTCTAGCTTGATTATAGAGTATGTCAGACAATATACCTTGAGGAACATTAAGCCTATCTCAAAAACATATTACTGAGGGACGGACTGTTCATAAATGTCATATGAGCATCTCAGTTCAGGGCCTGCTTCTTCTCCCCTGATTCCCAGAGCTTGGTGTAGGACTATGTGCATGTTCTTGATGCCTTGATGGAAACATGCAAAAATAAATTGGTCTTCTAGGCTTCTGATGTGCAGGGCTTGATTTGATGAAAAAGTTGAAGGCATACAGCAGTGTCCAGTATATGTGACTGACTAGCTCTAAATTAGCCACGCACAGACATGGTGGATCTGCTAGACTCACAGCACCCTGGAGGTAGGGGGAATCAAAAGAGGCTCAGCCAGAAAATTTGCTCACTCTAAAAGGCAAAGTAACCTTATTATTAGAAATCAGAGTGGTAGGTTCAGGAAAAGAGCTGACATGAAATTACCCTTCATAAATGAGCTTTGTTAAGAGAGCATCTTGGGACCATGGGCACCATGATCAAGCTTCGATGGGGGAAAGCATCAGGAGAGACAGTACATCACTGGGAGAGCTAGCTCAAATACAAGAGTAAGAAAGATAGCCATCATGAGCAACATGATGGTGTGGGTCTCAAGGGGAGGAAGAGGGGCTTCAGAGACGGGGATCTTTTAGGCACTGGGCTTGCTTTTTTCCCAACTGAGATCTACGTCTTCACCTCAGGGGTTGGCAGTCTTTTGTCTCAAATGAGAAACTATACGGGGGTGGATATGGCCTAATTTCTTCAAGCTGTGGATCTGATCTGAGTGACCAGCATCTTAAAGTGGCAGACCCTTGATCTTATCTCAAATCCCAAATCTCAGAGTTGGAAGAGAAGAATGAATTAAGAGAGACTTGCCTGGGTGAGATGATTCATGCCTATTGAATATGAGATATTTCTACCTTCCATTGAGATATTGAGAACCACATCCACTTATCTCTAAGATTAAGCTATTCTCTGAGTTTTTTTTTTTCAGAAGACCTATCCAAAAGAGTTATAATACACCCAAAAAGGCCTTTATCCAAATTGTTTAACTCCTCCACTCAGCACTTCAGGAATGGCATCATATCAGAAAGTAAGTTGCCTTCAGAAAACCTTTTGAAAAACCCTTCCTAAGGGTGTGACCCCGCAGCTCTGCTTTAGAGTGAACTGCTCCCACTACCTGCCTTCTATGCTTTTGATTTGAAATAGTCGATCAGATCAATAAATGAAATAAGCAATGCAGTTATCAAATTTCTCTAATATGTTACCTTAGGACCTCTGAAATTCTGTGAAGGAAAAAATGAGTATCTCAGTTAGGGCTCAGTGGATCCATTGTGAAGGCAGCCTTCCGGGACCTGTGTTCCCAGAGAGGGGCCAGTGACTGAGGAGGCAAGGTCCAACCTATGGAGACATCTTTGCTGATACCCAATGAGTTCAGGTGAATAAGGTGGGCAAGCCTGGAGCCAAACAAACTTGTGTCTGAGATGGTGTTTGTTCTCAGTGTCTTCCATCTCCTTTCCCTTGCCAGGCTTGAACTCCAGCCACCCAAAAAGCCAGTGCTTAACTTATCATCGAGGCCTGACTCTTACACATAAAATTCATTTCCTCAGCTCCTTACATTTTCTGACCATTTCTGTTTATCAGAAGTTACCTGGTTGAGCCGACTTTTTTACTCCAGTCCCTAGAGGGACTCAGTCAATGACCAGTTAACCTGGATACAACTTGCTACTAAAGGTTTAGTGAATAGTAGTCAGGTACTTTCTTTGCCGATGAATCATCTGATCTTGCCTCTCTCCAACGCTTTCACTTTGGATGCCAGAAATGTGTCCTCTTCTTCATTTTTACTACACACCAGATGATCTGGATTGCTTCAGGATGATTTAAGTCAGGGTGGCTCACTGCTTAAACTTCACCTTGTCTACTTCTCTATCTTGCGGGGGAGGGGGGCAGGATCTCTGCTAAAAATGCAGGACCCCAGGACTCACTGGTGAGCCAATGAATAAGAGTCTCAAGAGGCACCTTGGGTGTGCTCTGCAGTTGACTTCCACCTCCTAAATTAGAAAATACCATGTGGAATCAGGACACCATAAGGAGCTGCACAGGTGCTGGGCAGCAGAGCAGAGACAAGAGTGTCACAGGACCAGGACTCATTACTGACTTCCAAGCCAGGGCTACTCCCAAATATTAAAAGGCCTGAAAAAAATGAATCAGCTGTGTGTATAAGCTGGGAATACAGGAGAAATTTCTGTGTCTTCCTCTCAATTTTGTTGTTGATCCAAAACTTCTCTAAAAACTAAAATCTATGAAGAAGAGAGGAGGAAGGGGGACGAGGATGAAGAAGAGGGGGAAGAGAAGGAGAAAGAGGAGGAAGAGGGAGAGAAGAAAAAGGAGGAGGAGGAAGAGGAGGGAAGAAAGGGAAGGAGAAGAAGGAGGAGGAAGAAGAAGAGGAGGAGAAGGAGGAGCCACCGTCACCAAGCATAGTGGTTCACATCTGTAATCCCAGCACTTAGGAGACTGAGGCAGTGGGATTGCTGTGATTTGGAGGCCAGCCTAAGCTACAAAGTGAGCTCCAGCCCAGCCTGAACTATAGTGTGAGACCCTGTCTCAAGAGGAAAGCAAGCAAGTCCTATGGTAGAGCAGATGGACATATGCTTCTTTTGAGTCTCTCCTCTCCACAAGCCAAGCCTCTGTTCACTCTAACTTGATTTCCTCTGTGAAGCCTCAACCTCCTGTGGCAGAGCTGGGGGCTCTCATGGGCAGGGTGCATCCTGGGTACTGCAACATTGGAGCACTTACACTGTACCCTGTGACCAGATGTTCTCTTCCTTGGTGCTGGTGAACTACAAGTCATATTCCTTTCCCCCAGGACAGAAAATAAAATAAATTAAATTAAAAAAACAAAAACAAAAACACCTTATGGCTAGGCAGTGAGGTTTACCGAATGACTGAGTAAGTGGATGAGTGGGTGGCTGCCACCAAAGTCAACATCTGGTAAAGTGTGCTGACACAAGACAAAGGAACAGATCCCCTCCCCACTTCACACAAACACAGGTATCCCATCTGGGTACAGCGCCTCTCAGAGGCAAGAGGACATGAAATGCTCATGTATTTATAGCAACTGTGCTCAATAATATACGTTGGGAAATTAATGACTTCCAGACCTGTGGAACAGGGAAAGACATGCATGCGGCCACCTGAAGTGAGAACTGATAACATCTGTAAGGAAAACAGAAGCCACTCCAGGTATTTTAAACAGAGGGGGTTTAATGCAGGGAGTGGATTACACAGGCTTGGTACCATGGGCAGAGAGCCCCATGTTAGTAATCGCAGGGAGCAGCTACTAACCTTAGACTGGGGGGACAAAAGGCAAGAGTTGGTGTTACCAGAACCTAGGAGCTCTGATGGGGGACCCCCCACGGCTGGTGCCTGGCCCTCTGACCGGGCTGCTGCGTGCTGGTTGCTTGGACTTCTGAGGGGGTCTTTGCTTGGCTGGTGGTGGCCGGACCTCTGGGCGGGGACGCGGCTGACGCTCAGTCCTCGAGGGGGACCTTGGCTTGGCTGGCCTCGGAGGGGACTTTGGCTTGGCGGGCGGCGTTCTGACCACCGCGGGGGGTGCAGCTGGCTGTTGCTTGGGCCTCTGAGGGGACGTGGCACGGGCACGGCGGCTGGTGCAAAGAGGGCCAAAAGAAGCGGGAGGCTGCAGCTTGGGCTCTTAAGGGATGCTGGCAGGAGCTGGAAACAGGAGGAAGGCCCTGCTCCCCCTCCCACCTTCAGTCGCCCTCCAGGGCCTTCCAGAGCATAGCCGGGCGCTGACAGTCAGGGACCTGCAGGTGTGTGACGCAGAGCCCTGGTCCCCATCACCGCAGAGCCAGTGCTTACCTGGTCTTCTGGCAGGCGCAGCAGATCCAGTCCTCCTCTTTCTTCTGGTAGAAGCAGCCGCTCTTGCAGATGCTGTATTTCCGGTCCACGATCTCGCGCTTGGAGTTGAGGAAGGTGAAGGGCGGGCAGCAGTGGATGCTGAAGTGCTCAGAAAACTTTTGGTTCTTGGAGAGCCTGGGACCGTCTTTGGCCATCTTCTGACTCATCTTACTGGAAACCATCAACGGGGCAGAGCAGGGAGACACAACATAGTATGTCAGACAAGGAGCCTGGTGCTCGAGGAGGCTGCTGGCTGCCTGACACCCCCACAGACCACAGCATTGCCTTAGAGAACAAAATCGGCAGAAAGGAGGTCAGATAAGGGCTTTTAGTAACATTTATCTCTGTGTTTTTCTTTGTTGTTGTTGTTGTTTTGTATGTGTATGTGTGTGCAATGTGCCAGCATGTCTGTATGCATGTCCACATGTGTGTGGCCAGATCTGTGCATGTGTATTTGTGTGAGTGTGCACATGTAGGCTAGAGATTGATGTCAGGTGTGTGCTGAATAGTTTTAGTGTCAACTTGACAGCCTGGATTGAGGGAGCCTCAATTATGGAATTTCTTTCATTGGACTGGCCTGTGGCCATGTCTGTGGGGCACCTTCTTGATTGTTGAGTGGTGTGGGAGGGCCCAGGCCACTGTGGGTTGTGCCACCCCTGGGCAGGTGGGCCTATGTTGTATAAGAAAGCAGGTTGATCATGGGCCAGGGGAGCAAGCCAGTAAGCAGGTTCCTCCATGGCCTGTGCTCCAGCTCCTACCTTGAGTTCCTACCTTGGGCTCCCTAATGAACTGTGACCCGGGAGATGTAAGCTGAATAACCCCTTTCCTCCCCAAGTTGGTATTGGTCAGAGTATTTTATCACAGCAATGAAGAAACAAACTAGGACAAGGTGTCTTCCTCTGTTACTCTCCACCTTACACATTATAGCGGGGTCTCTCGCTGAACCTATAGGCTAGGTTAACTAGCTAGTTTTCCAGGGATCTCCTGTCTCTGCTTCCCCAATGCTGGGATTCCAGGCCAGCTGCCAAGCCTGCCCACTCAGCTTTCATATGGGTGCTGGGGATCAAATTCTGGTCCTCACCCTTGCCTAGCAAGTGCTTTACCCACTGAGCCATCTCTCCAGACCTTATCTGTGTATTTTTAAGTCATATTTTCTAAGAGAAAAGAGCATGGACCTATTTTCTCAGTATGTTTTAGAGATCTACTAAAAAATAGGAAAAATATCACAAAACCAAGCATATCTTTGGTTAAATAATATTCTATATTTAAAAATGGCATTTTCTATAAAAAGTGAAAATGATTTATTGTTAAAACTATAAGCATTGTACGTTAGGAGTGTATATAGATGTGCATGTATGTGTGTGCATGAGCATGTAAAGGCCAAGTTGTTTTAAAGACAGAGTCTCTCACTGGCCTAGAACTCATCAACTAGAATTAGACTGGTTGACCAGCAAGTATCAGGGATTTACCCATCCCTGCCTCATCAGCATTGGGATTACAAACATGCATCACCATGTTTGGCTTTTTTGTTTGTTTGTGTTTGTGTTTTTTGAGATGGGGTCTCCTTGTAGCCCCATTTGATCTGGAACTTGCTATGTAGACCAGGCTGGCCTCTGTCTCACAGAGATCCACCTGCTTCTGCCTCTTGACTGCTGGGGTTAAAGGTGTGCACTACCATGCCTGGTTCTCAACTTTTTAAAATATTTTATTTATTTTTATTTTTATGTATATGAGTGCATTGTCTTCATGTATATAAGTGCACCTGTGTTGTGCCTTGCCTATGGTGGCGGTCAGAAGAAAGCATCAAATGCCCCTGGAACTGGAGTTATAGATGGTTGTTAGCCACCATATGGGTACTGAGAATCAAATTTGGGTCCTCTGCAAGAGCAGTCAGTGCTCTTAACCACTGAGCCATCCCTCCAGCCCCAGCTTTTTTTTTTTTTAATGTAGGTTCTGGGGATCAAACTCAAATACTTGTGTTAGCAAGGCAAGTGCTTTACTGACTGACCCATCCCTACAGCTTTTCATATAATAAAATACAACAATGAAAAAGAATATCTATGTAGGTCAACATGTTTGTGTCTCAAAGCACTATACTGAGCAACAGAAATCAGACACAAGGAGATGCCAGCTGGGTGAGTCACTTTATGTGAGGTCCCCAAAAAAGCAAAACCCATGTCCGTGATAGAGACCAGAAATCTCGCTCTGTTTGGGCATGCTGGGATCTGACTAAAGAAGGGGCCAAACAGAGCCTGCAACAGGCTAAAAACACTTGCAGGAAGACAGTCAAGAAACAGGACTAATGCTCCAACACAGCCATTTGCACTGAACTCAGATGACTGTTAATCAAGAGTCAACAGAGGTAAATGAAGAATGAACTTCCTGTGCCAGAAACCAAGAACATCCCCACTCTCAGCACACCCAAGGTCACCTTGGAAATACATAGGTAAAGTGTGTAATCACAAAATGGTGCTGGCAGCCAGTAGCTAGCATGGTTGCCTCCTGCTACAAATGGAGAGCTGAGAAGCAAGTAGTTAAAATACCTTTTTCCTTTTTTATTATATTACTAATTTTTTAATATTTTATTTTTTATGTGTATGAGTATAGTGCCTATATGTATATAAGTGCATCCATGTCGTGCAATGCCTGGGGAGGTCAGACGAGGGCGTCAGATCTCCTGGGACTGGAGTTATGCATGGTTGTTAACTGCCATGTGTGTGCTGGGAACCAAATCTGTGTCTTCTGCAAGAGCAGCCAGTGAGCCATCTCTCCAGCCCCTCTTTTTTTTTTGAGACAGGGTCTCAGTATGTACCCCAGGTGACTTGAACTCAGGGCACTCCTTCTGCCTCAGCATCCTCCCAAGTGTTAAAGTTATAGGCATGCATCACCAAAACTGGCCTTAAGAATACCACAGGCACACTACAGCATGTGCCCCCCAACACACACACACACTAAATAAATCATAAATAATTTTTTTAATTTCAAGCAACCCAAAAGCACTTGGGAAACCCAGGTTAGACTAAATAAGTCTGTTTTTAAAAAGACAAGTAATAAAATAATAATGCAGGGTATGAAGTGGGGTGGGCAGTAAAGTGAAGTGAGGGGAAGAAGTCTGAATATGATCAAAATACACTATATGAAATTCTCAAAGCCCCATAAGAAAGAAAGAAAGAAAGAAAGAAAGAAAGAAAGAAAGAAAGAAAGAAAGAAAGAAAGAAAGGAGAGAGAGAAAGAGTACATGAAGTTGTCAGAAAAAAAGCGATGGGGAGATATGGGAGGAGTTGGAGGGGAGGCAGTGGGCATGGATTTGATCAAAACGCCTTACATGCATATATGAAATTCTCAATAAATTTTTTTATTTGAAAAAAAACTTAATGAAATATTTATGTGGATCAATAAAGATGAGAAAGGTTAGGAAACAACCAAGTTCATAAAGCCAGCAGAAGGTGAGCAGGGCTGTGACTCAACAACTGTGACTTCTACACGGGAGCTCCTGACCAGGCCTGCTCTGTACCTAAGCTCAGTCTCCTCTCTATGAACAGCAATCTAGACACCTAGACCCAGGCAGGACTTCCAGGAACTGGACATGGAGAGATGTGGTTCCCTGTATCCTGGGGTAGAAAAGATGAGAGCTGGGGAACCCCTCTCCAGAAGGGAAAGGGGGAGAATTGGGTGTGGACACTTCATTACAATACAGCAGCCAGGATATTCCCACCAGCACGAAGGCTCACCAACAAGACCAGGATTTGAACATGAAGTGGAGCCTGGAGGCCTGGAGGCAAGAACTTGAAACAGCTGTCATATCCATAGTCAAGAGCAGAGTGAACACATGCATGCTTCTGGTGCTGAGCTCACTTTCTCTACTCTTACACAGTCCAGGACCCACATCCAGAGAACGGTGCTGTCCAAGTGGGCTGAGTCTTCCCACACCAACTAATGTAATCAAGACAGTTCCATGCAGACATGTCCTCAGGCCAACCTGATCTAGACAGTCTCTCATTGAGACTCTCTTCCCAGGTGCTTCTAGGTTGGGCCAAGTTGACAATCAGAACTAAGCATCACAATCAGTCATATGAGAAAAGATCTCAAGAAAAAGGCCTAGAAATAGATGTAAGTGTATTTGACATTTAAATGTCTAAGGAAGCCATGGGAGCATTCAGAGAGGAGTATGGGAAAATAACGAGAAAACAATTGTATTTGTACTAGCAACAAAATCCTAAAATACCCAGAAAAAAAAGTTAAAACTAAATCTCATAAATCGCTATGGGAAAAAATTTAAAGCTAAAAAAATAGCAAGTGAATAAGTAGAAAAACAGTTCATAGATGGAAATGATCTATATCATAAAGAGAAAGTTTTCCAAAGTTAATTCATAAATTCCATGCATTTCCTACTAAATCACCAAAGATCTTTTATGAAATGTTTCAATCTGAACTGACAGAAAGAAAAATGAGGAATCATCAAGAAAAATTTGAAAAGAATAACAACCTTCCTCATATCCACCTGCTAACTCCAGTTTCAGGAGATCTGATGCCCTCTTCTGGCCTCTGCAGGCACCTGCACACACGTGGTACACATATATATACTCAGGCGCGCACACACACACACACACACACACACACACACACAAAATTTAAAAATAAATACAAATACTGTGACAATAATTGTCTAAAAACAGATAAGTGGAGCAATGCAGAGTAAAACTAGAACTCAAAATCAAATCCATAAATACAGAAAACAATGCATGATAAGGATATTAGGAGAGGGGAGATTCTTTCACAAAGAATGCTGGTATAAATTAACTTCAAGATGATATAACTCAATGAATCAAAATTAAAGACCAGTCCACATCATAAGACCAGTCCACATCATAAGACACAATAACCATAGCCGAAAGAGAAACAACACCAAAATAATACAACACATTTAATAGACAAAGAATTTCTATCCATAATCCTTAAAGAAAAAAAAACCCAGCTCCTACACAGGAAACTGGTAGAAAATTGGGCAGATTATGTGAACAAGTCATGTGGAGAAGCAGCAGTGGATGATTGACAGGCATGCAGAAGAAGATGGAAGCTGATCACTGTACAAGTTGAAACAACAGATACCATTCCTAGAATACCAGATCAGTCAGATTTCGATATGCCAGCAATAAGAGGAGCAGGCTGTA